AGAGTGATCTAATTGCAAGAGACTACAGGATCCAGCCAAAACACAACCAGAAGAAATAAAGCAGGAGCAGAGTAAAAAGTGGAGAAGCAGCGTGTCTTTAGTGTAATACACCATCCCACTCCCCCTAAACATGCAGAGGACCCTAATTTCTGGCTCCTTGATCTGGTGAGATAATTAATGGATGAATGTGCCTGAAATAATCTTTCCAATTCCCCTTTCTCTCATCTCATCAGATTTTTTTCGGAGATGGAGGGGTGAGAAATAAAGATCTCCAAAGGGAGATGACCAAACATTAGAATGAAAGAGAAAACAAGTGGTTCATAACCCAATTTAAGCCCAGTGAAGTTAGCAAAATATATCCCGCTGCCTTCGGGAGGCTCTGGATCAGACCCAGCCAATTGCGAAGAACAACTAGGACGAGAAGCCCAACCTGACAGGGGATTTTGGTTTGACTGGAGTTCATAATGTGACAGAGGAAAGCTGTAAGATGTGAATAGAGCACTTCATAAAGCCTGGCATTTAAAACAACAGCAAAAGCTTATTATTTTGCATCTTTTTGTCAGTGTGGTAGCTAAGATCAATTAAAGGAAGAGAAAGAGGTTGAAATAGTTACACTTCCTGGCTAATCAGACTGATCTCGTCTGGAGAATGTGGATTTCATAACACATTTAACTTGGCACCCTGGGATTTTTTTCTCTGCTTGGAATGTTTTTTTAATGAGAAGTTGCATTTTAGAGACATAACCTTATGTAAACACTAGCCAGGGGAATTTGATATTTAACTTATTGTGCTGCAGAGAAGAGTCTCTCCAGGTACTATACTTTTATTAAACTCACAAAACGGAATTCATCCATGTTTGAGAGCTCAAGCCTGAATTGTCAATTGCAACGTTTTTTGTCTTATATTGACGTTGGTTCTGCTACACTCAGCATGAAATACTCTAATGAAACCCCTCTGCACATCTGGATGAAATGAATCTTTGAATTACTGGTTGTTTAAGGTTGACCTGGGAGGTGGCCAACAGCTGTCTTTATGTCATTTGTGGTACACAAACGCAGTCTATTTACAAGAAAACAACCGAACTCTCCAAATGACCGAGCAGTTAATTTGTGCACAGAAAGTGGTGCTGTATGCTTTACAATATTAAGTTATACGCAGGGCCTTGGGCCTACCACTTACAGAAACCAGGCACATATTACATGATGAGCTGCAAACCAGTGGGGTATAAATGAGATTATTAGCTTAATTGTGATGTAGGGGGATGTTCCATTGCTTTGAGGGAATGTCATAGAAGGCAAGGTGATGTAATTTGGGATAATCAAACACAAGTTTAGTCCTTTGGTGAACCTTTTTATCACAACTAAGAGTAGAGTGCTTCCAGATAGTAGGTGCTGATAATTAATGCAGACCGTGCAAGTTACACGAATCTGAATTTTATTCACCTTCTTGAAATGTGTAAATATACATCAGGAAAACCCAAATTCCCATTTAGATATCAGCAATATAGGTTGCTGATCATCTTCACTTTTCATACCAATGCCTGTTTAAGAGTACTAGCACCGTCAAAAATACATCTTGATTAATTTTTGATGCTAATTAACTTTGATGTATTAATATCAAAGTGAAGTTGCCTATTTTAAGTCCTCATTTGAAATTATGAACATGCTTAACTAACTTGCCCAACTATTCATATATTTAAAATATCTTGCTGAATTGACATTTTAGTGCTTAATGCTAATAGATTTGTAAGGCTCTTTTGTTCTTATCTGTTTTTGCTTTTATGTAGCGTTGTGCATTTAGCATCTGTAACGGACGAGATGGGTTGGACTGGATGACCTCCAGAGGTCCCTTCCCACCTCAGCACTTCTGTGATTCACTGAGTTATAATGTCTGTGAAGCCACTGTGCTGTGGCCCACAGTATATAATGCTGCCAAACAATGCCAAAAGTCACCAGTCAGTCTGAGAAGAAACACCTAAGGCAGCCCTAGTTAAAAAAAAAAGTACTATGCATTGCAAAGGGTTTTAGTCGCAAGTGTGCTACTTCTTTTCCTCTTTCAACCCAGTATGATGTCTTAATGCATACTCTTGAGTCTTCATCTTTCTTGGTAAGGCTGGACGCCATAGATACCAAGCAACAAGAAGCAGCTGAATAGAAGTTTGTTTTCTAAAGCTGTGTTCATCCCTCTTGTTCTCTGAATTTTATGATGTCTGACTATGAAATCTGCCAGATCCTGTTTTTATTTCAGATCCTTTTTTATGAGCTATCTTGTTTTCGTATCTCTCTCTCCTCAGATGCCTTTTGAGGAGAAAGACCTATTAGCTGATGGGAAAAAGAACAACTGTTGATCAAATCTTTTGTATCATTTCCAAACAGGGACGAAGAGGCTTAGGCTCAGTTTTTGTTTGGGCATCTGGAAATGGTGGAAGGAGTCGAGACCATTGCTCCTGTGATGGCTACACCAATAGCATATACACTATCTCCATAAGCAGCACAGCTGAAAGTGGGAAGAAGCCCTGGTATCTGGAAGAATGTGCATCCACGCTAGCTACGACATACAGCAGCGGGGAATCCTACGACAGGAAAATAGTATGTTTTTTTAATTATTTTTGCATAAATTGATTTGTTTTTTGTATAGTAACTTTTAGGAGAGGGAGAGAGAGATAGCTTATTTGTGCTATTTAAATGGACCAATAGAAAAAAATTGTATTTGGACAAGTTTATTTAGCCCAGGTACGTTACTAAGTTGGTGTTACCACACTTCTTCCAGTTCTGAGGGTAGTAATGTGAGGTCAACAAGGGTATCTCCGCATGTTGCAGCCTTATGCAAAATAGATATACCCATTCATAGTAGATTTTTCTGCTAATCTGAGTGATGCTTTCAAAGATCCTGTTGCCACTGCCACCAAAACAGATTTGTTTCCTGACCAATGCCGTGCAACCTGTCAGTAGGCTTCAGGACATATCCTCCTTTCTTTTGTTTTTTAATCCAGTTTTCATTAGTTTTTATATTTTACATGCACGCTTTTAGAAGGAATTTTCCTGCCTACTTCCTTGGTATCTCAGGTTATTTGAATCCAGCATTATTCCTCTTTTACCTTCATTGATACTCAGTTATTATTCGTATTGCTGCCTATTCCTGGTAGCTGACATACTGTAAACAAGATTAAGTTCAGTGCTCATCTTCACTGCACTGTTTTTCATCTCATACCTAAATGGGCTGCATCCATTTTCCATTATGTTCTCTTGGCAGCAAAGCCAGGAGCTGTTTCTAATTCTGTTTGATAATCTAGCAATACCAGTAGTATTTGTATGCTATGGTATTTTGGCTTTTTCAAATTGAGCACATTCGATATACTTTGCTACTGCTCTTTTTAGCCTTTTAAACTCTTGCATTAGGACTGTTAAGATTTGTTAAGCATGGACTCCTTCCTAGCTTTATTCTGGTGTAGAACTTAAAGGTCTTTATTTCTTCAGAATCAGAACATTTAGGTGGGTGCCTCCCTCTCCCCCACAAAGTTCTCTTTTTAAGCAGTGGTTTTTATTAGCACCTTCTTTCTGGTCCTTAGTAGATACCTCTCTTGCTGTCAGTGAGGAGTTAAAAATTCTTGCAGCTATTTTTTTTAATACTGTCTGCCTTGTCTTTCAGGATTCTGGGATGCTGGCCATCCCTTCTTGGAACCTTCCTTATTTTCAGATGATCTAATTTTTGTTTTAAGCTTGTTCTGAGGTACCTCTTCGTTCCAGTAATTTTTCTGTTCTTTACTTGCTTCTCTCCACAGAAACCTTATCTCTGTTCCTGTCATGTTTCTTTTCTCCTTGATAAATACTAATAAAGAAAAGAAATTACTCAGTTTCCTAGCACTCTTCACTTCTATGATTAAATTCCCTCTGCTGTCCCTTAAAAGACCTTCGAATATCTTTTTCATGTTTAAGTCAGACTAATACAATTTAAGGTGAGCAGAGGCTACTGTAATTCTCCAGTCTGACCTCTTTCATGATCCAGTCTATGGGTTTTTCTTCCCTGAATCCTTCTTCAAGTCCAATGCTTGTGGTCAACTCAAGAAAACACAAACACATCCCATCTTGCTTTCAAAATTTGCAGTGACAGAGAATTCACTAAAATCTGGGGTAAGTTGTTCTAATCACCCATTCCCATTAAAATGTTTCAGTTACTTGCTGTCTGAGTTCTGGCTTGAACTTCCAGGCATTTGGTCTTGCCGCAGATTTTACACTGATTTGGCATGCTCTGTTTTCCAGCAGCCCTTGTCATCCAACATTAAATATATTATTAATTAATTAATTAATTAATAATTAGTTTAAATGCTGTATCAATTGCTTTACACTAGATAAAAGCTTGGCAAATTGGTGAAATTATTAGGGCAACGCTGCTTACCCTTTCAAAATATTGACACTGCTGGTTTTCTTTCAGTCTTCTGGAACTTCACCGCTGTACCAAGACTTTACTAAAATCAACAATACAGTCTAAAATTTCCCTTGTTAGCTCTTGTAAAAGTCTTTCATGCTTTCAAACTTGCTGATTTGAACATGTCTATCTTCAGTAGTGGCTTTAGTAGTTATAAACAGGAAGACGATACAATGATACTATCATTGTATGCTCTGAAAACTTTTGATTTTTTCCAAAAAGAGAATCTTTAGTGAAATACCTATCAGTACTGTACAGTATCTATACAGTTTCTGTACAATAACTACTCTATTATTTCTGTACAATTAAAGCAGTATTATTTGGGGGTTTTGATTATTATCAAGACCAACTCTTTTGGTTTTGATATTTTTAAAAATAAAGTATCATTATGTTTTATTCTGCTCTTGCTGTGGGCTTCACCATTTGTCCTTTGTTTTTCTTTGCCACCTTTATGCACCTTCTGTCCTCTAATTTTTATTCATTGTTATCCACTTCATCTTTTACCCATTCATATTTTTTTATTTATTACTTCTTTCACTTGCCCTTACTTGTTTTGTGGACCAGTATATCCTTCCTCAGTTTTTACTCAGTAAAATGGCTCTGTGTTTCTCAGTCTTCGTTTGTAGTTTTCTGATTAGCTGATTCCATTTTTGTACATTCCTCTAATTCTTGAATAGCCATAGTTTTCCTGATCATTATCTTCCATACTTTTCAATTAGCATGAACTCTCTGCTTTTGCTATATTGCTGTTTTAGTAGACAGCGTTGCTTATTTTTGAAGTGTTTCTCCCTTTTGACTTAGGCTAGCACCAAAAACACTTGGAGGTTTTCTCACCTTCATTGTTATAGACTTTCTTATGAAAATGAAACCATGGGAATTAAGCTAAATAATTTTTTTGTTTACTGAAATATAATGCTCATCACTTAGAATTTATGACATTGTGCTCATATTTGCAGTTTTATATTTTGCTGTAAGGTTTTTGAAAGACACACTTTACAAATTAATGGTCAATTCTTATGTTTAGAATGAATGGACATTTACATTTTATGTAAAAATTACTGAAAAACTGTGAAGATATGTTTCTTCAAAAGTGTTTTTAATTTGGAGTCTCAATTTGAGATCTAAGACCAGAGCATTAGAGATAAGCAAAAATAACTTCCCTAGTTATTGATTCTTCTTGATAATCAGATCCTTCATTCTTTTGGGAGTGATCCTGTTCCATATGGCAACTTTAGATTACACCAGTAAAGTGCCTCGTTCTGCGCACTGAATGGTAAAAGCATGCACATGCTGAACGGCTTTAAAAATGTATCCAGTTCTCTTGACCTTTCATCTACCAGAACTCAGTTTATACCCTGACTTACTCTTGGGCCAAACAGTTTTGGTGGTGGGCCTTCCAAATGGTTCCCTGATCACAAATATAAGAGATTCAAACCATAAGTATGCCATCCACCACTTTTTCCTATGCTGTGTTATCAGTTAACTTCTGAAGCATGTAACCTGGCTCAAGGTGTTTTCTGGTGGCACTTTGCATTTGAACACAGCCTATTCCCCCTCCCAGCACCTTCAGCGATGAAGCAGAGCAGTGCGTGCCGAACGCAGTGAACAGCTTTCTCTGTGTGTGTGCAGACCAGTTACCCTCCTATGAAAACAACCCTGTGCTCCTGTTACGCCAGAGTCCAGTGAGAAATGACATGAAATTGTGGAACCGACCCTTTAAACTAAGAGTATGGAGCAGTTACGGGTACCAGCTGCAACTTTTCCAAGTCCTTTCAACACACAGACACACACGCACGGAGATAGAGGCATTGCTCTCATCCATGTGTCTCTGTTGCTCATAGCATGAGCAATCATTTTGAAAGCAATAATGATAACATCTACATTCTCTTCTCCAAGTTGTCTACTAAAATTCACTCCTCCAGAAGACCTATCAAACCTCATTTCCTATGGAAAGAAGTCTTGGCTGAAACACGAACTGAAACACAGAATGGATAATTTTGACCACAAAGTTTTCCAACTGTTATAAAGTGCTAAAAGAGTCTAGGACAAAGAAGATGCGTGTTCATTTTCATTGCTGAATCATACATCTTTTCACTGCATCATATCTCACCTCTTGTTTAGATTGCTGCCCTTTTTGAGGTAGAAATTGTCTTCATATCTTTCTGCAAAAGAACCCAGAGCTTGCAGTAAGTGTAAAGTGACAAGTAATGATAGAGTTAAAGATTATTGTTACATTTCTTTTCTCCAAACTTGTTTATGCATATTAACTTAAATGATTAGCTGTGAAGAGTTGAAGTGCATGCCATTACATGAAAATAGTAACAGTATTTGATCAAGCCATATAATGGTTTAGTTTATGAAAGTGTGACTCTCATTCAAAATAGGAAACAATAAGGACTACTGCAGTAAATCAGGAAAAAAACATGGTGACCTGACACGGTATTCACAGTCAAAATTAATGAACTCGGTCTCATTTGCTCACATGTAACTAAGAACAAACTCTGATGTCACATGGGATTCTGCAATGTAGTTGCACAGAAACGTAGATGTGATATTAAGGGACAGTGCATAGCTACTACATTATAGTGCACGGCTACTGCTTTATAGTATCAGATTCTTGAGTTCCTGCTTATTTTTCCTTACATGTCTCCAGTTCCTTTTCCTTTTTGATTTTTCAATCCAGTGTGTGCAGAATGTATTATGAGGTGGATAACCCAAACAGTCACCAAGTGAACATGTAGGCACTCATTGTATGGATTAGAAAGGGACAAGTAAAAATGCTTATAAAAATGTTTTGGCTTTAATGAGGATTAATAAAAACACCCACACTTTTATAAGTACCCAGAGACTTTTTTTTCCCTTTTCATGTTACCACATATTTTTATAATTGTTACAAATATGACTTGTAACATAATTTTAGGAGGTTTTCCAGTTTTGGTGGGGTTTTTTCAGTCTTGTATAAACATAATTAGCTTAGTAAATAAGAGAATAATCTCATCTACACAGCTCTTTTCCACATGAGTCTTATTTTTGCTGACTTTGGACTAAAGTAAATGACAACAAATTCTGGTGTGTAACAATTTGAGCTAACAGTTATAGTGAAGCATACACTGATGTTAGCATCTTGCATGACTACTGCTGTCTGCAGCCCCAGGGAGCCCCAGGAAACTCACAATGCCCTTAGCTTGATGCTGCACCAAATTGTACTGCAGTAAATGTTTGCCCATTAGGGACTAGTTTTCCAGCATTTGGCTGCATTATATACATCCAAAGCATACAAACATTTTGTGGATACAGTTGCATGTGTGCCTTTTAGATAGACAGTTACATAGACAAGTTATTTCTAGGTCTTTTCAAGTGCATCTGCAAAGTGCAGGCGCAGATACAGAAACTCACGCCCTGGGACAAAGGCAAATGAAGGCCAGGTACAGACCATAAAAATATACTTCTTTATGGAGGTCATCTTTCAAAACAGAGTGAGTGTAGAAGTAACAGCCAGAGACATGCATTTGCCAATTTATTTTTCCTATTATTCTCTTCTCTGCTATTTTGAAAGCAAAACAACCCTGGCAGATAGTTTCCCCGCTTGGCCACATGCAGCTTTGCATTATTACTTAGAATAAGCATCTTAGAATATGTTCAGTACAACCTAGCTGTAGCTATTTATCTGGGCCTTGGAATGTATCAATAGTGTTGCACCAATGCATCACCATTCCTTTGGATTCCTTTTTAAAATGACTTCTGAAAGCACTGATGAATTTACGGGTGAAAATCCCTCAGAGATAAAATTTGTAAACATACTGCACATGACTCATCTTCTAAAAGCCACATCTATGCTTATTGTACAGGTGTACTTACTGAGCAGGTAAAAAATGGTTCTGTCAGTTCGGAAGGCTGAAGTCATGCAATATGAAATATCAGTGAATAAGAGTCTTAGGACAGGAAAAGTGAGCATGTTCTCTGCTAAGGAAAATCCTGTTTTTGACCTCAGTCCTTAACCTCCCAGTAGGTGAAACTATGGGGAGATTGATGGTACGACGTTAATAATAACTGTTCAGGAGTAGCATCTCCTTAAATCTTCAGAGCAAATTGCTTGTACAAAACTACTGCGGTTTATTTCTAGAGTTTTTCTTTAATAAATCTATGCATTTTCTGAAAGCTGCCTGACTTCCACATATGGCAGGGATTACAGTACGTTGTGGTGATTGCTATAACTTTTATCTGAGTTTCACCAAGGTGTCCTAGGCTGTTAATCTCATGTTGATTAAACTATATCGGTGCCAGAAACATTCTCATAGCCTTCAGTCAAAGCTGGTTGATTCAGAAGAGCTAGAAGTGGATATAACTCAGGGCCCTCGAAATATTACATGGACTGATCATGCATAATCTGATCAACATTTTCATAGATCAGCAGTTGTTACAGTATTTGAAGCATATAAATGTGTTGTACTCAACAAAAGATTCAGAAATTGCTGCTCCTCCCCACACTATTGAGGGGAATGACAGCTCACATACACTAATGATAACTTCATGGGGCTGTCAAGTGTCACGTCCTTTTGTTGTGATTAATGATGTTACCCTTGTGCGGTTCAGGGATTTGGAGCATCATTTCTCTTCTCGAAACTCGCTTGCCTGTTGGTGGTCCTTTTCTCTTTTTTTCGTGAGCTATAGACACAAGGCTCCTCTGACAATGAATCCCTAGTGCTGAAAAGCATGCCTTAGATCTTTGAGGTAATTTACACCTAAACATCTCAGCTCCTGTCAGTAACTTCCCTTTGAAATAGCTCAAATGGGATTTCCACTTAGGAAGCTTTCTTTACACATTTTCTGCTGAAATATTTGCTGAGTGAAAGAGAGCGATAAGGGGCTGTAGTTCAAACTTGCCACAATGTCTACTTGGGACACGAGACCCCCATTGCAGAGGTGTCATACTTTTATTATGCTTGATAGCCATAGGTACAGGACAATAAAAACTGAAGCATGTTCTTCTTTCAGAAGATGAGAAACACAGATAGCATGATACAGTGTTGTCTCACAGCACGCACGAGGCTGTCTCTTAATGCAAAGCAGCTATGGGGGCACTTCTCCCTGCCTGAACTCCTGCAGGCACCGATATCCTTCAGTCCTCTTTGGAAAGTGGACAAGAAGCGCAGCTTCTTGGCAGGGGACAATTTTCCTGGCCGGGAACGGGACAAGTGTGGGCCAGTCTCTCTTTCTACCTTCTCTTTTTCCTGGTCTCCCTTCCACTCCCCACCACTGCTTTGACCATTGTTTCTCCAAAGGAGATACTTGACACTTTCATGTCGTTATTTTTGTGCGTATCATCCTGTAAGCCATGGCCATTTTCAACTCACCTCCAAAACCACTCCTTGCATCTGCACACATAGGCAGTATAGTCGTAGAGCAGTTCCTGCTGCAGTTTTGTCTCTTAACATTTTCAGAGCATGTATGGGATGTGCATGCAGATGGGTTTTCCATTAATTTTCCTTGTCTAAATTCATGAACAACTGATAGGAGGGGAGGAAAGAGATAAAGAAATGATATGAGCATTTTATTTATAGGCATCACCTTTTAGTTAGTAAAAGATAAAAAAATAAGAATACATATACATATATGAAAGATTTTAAACAATTTAAATAATATTAAATAATTAAATAATTATTAAATAATAAGGACAAAAAAGGTTCTTTCTAGACTTCAGTATCCTTGAGTCTGGCCTTTGGTAAGTCCAGTAATTTAAGGATATGACATTATAAATGCTTTAATCCTTATTTTTCAACTTCTAGAACCTTCCATTTTGTTTCATTTAGTCACTACTTGCTTTCAACAATCACTTCATAGGTCCTGTGAACTTCTCTTTTAGAAGTCCTTTGTGTTAGCCTGCACATTTACATGTCATTAAAACTTTCAGCAGTCTTATACCAAATGTGTAATACATATACTACTGAATATTATGAATGTATCTGTATAAAACCTATTTGCAACTGTTTGTAATGTGCTGAGATGGTACGTAGCTATTTTTTTAGATCATAGAGATCTAGTTTCAAAGCTAGACAGATATTTTTATGTCTTGTACTTTTTTGTGTGCTTTACTTCCCACTCTCCTGTGATCCACTCCTTCTTCCATCTTTGTGTGAGTGTCTGTGTTGCAAGTGAAGTATAGCACTAGTGAATTAGATTAAATGGAAACATCTGCATGGATTTCACCTGAGCATCTGTTAGGTGGTCATGACTTCTTGTCTCCACTGCCTTGCTCTTGCTAGGAACCACTTCTCCAGAAAGAAAAGTTTAGAGTAGAATCACTTTAGATTAATCTTGCCTGAAAGAAGCAGCTTCAGAATGAATACATTTTTGTGTGTGGTTTATTGCCTTACAGAAAATATCTACCTAAAATTCTTTATGAGGGAGGAACATCCTAACACTAAGTACAGGACTGTGTCTTTTTAGTTGGTATTGCATATTATGGCTTTATGCAGCCCCTAAGATCATATATTAAAATATGTAGCAGCATATAATTAAGCAATATATAACTCCATTTAAAGCTGCAAGTAACTAATAGGCTGGAGATCTCTAAGCCAAATTTGTGATTACATCAGGATTTTCAGATGAATTGTTGCTTAATTTCATGTGAATTATTGCATATGGAAGGAAGGAAGGGACTGTGGATTAAATACAGCACTTAATGTGAACATAACTGTATTCTGTTCTATCATGTACTTCCACTGTGACTTCAGGCAACCCCATTAACCCCTCCATACCTCTGTTTTACAGTCTTAAAAATGAGCATAACCAATTTGTGTGATGGGAACACTGTGAGGTTTAATTCATTCCAATTTGTAAAGCACTTTGAGATTCTTGGATGGGAAGTGCTCTATAAATGCAAAGTAATAGAAGAGCAGAGTTCTAACCATTCTGTTATAAAACCCTGTGCATGTTTTTCTAGTTTACATGTCTTTTGTTAGTCATGCCATGAAAAAACCTGAGACTAACTTATGTTTTCAGTGCAATGCAGAGAACACTTCTCCAAGTTCACAAATGTCTTCAAGCTCCGAGTAGAATATGAACATCTAAAATCATGTACTCACTCCTTGTGATGAAAGAAGAAAATGTTCTCCGCTTACATGCAACTCATTCAAGCAAATGAAACCTGTTCTGATTTCTGAAGCTGTGTTCTAAATTTCATACATTCAATTTCTTCCAGATCACCACAGACCTGAGGCAGCGTTGCACAGACAGCCATACGGGAACCTCAGCCTCTGCACCTATGGCTGCAGGCATCATTGCACTGGCACTGGAAGCAAAGTAAGATCTGAGCTATACTCTGGAAAAAGAAAAAAAATGAATCACATAGATGGATTCTTCTCACTTATCTGGCATCTTTTACCCAGGGATCTCAAAGTGCTTTAGATGCTCTGCGTATTAGAAATTCACAGTGCTCTTCTAAAATCAGGAAAGATCAGTGCGCTCACCTTACATGCAGGAAAGCTGACACCATGGAGATGATGGCAGAGTACTCAGCATGTTGAAATAACTTGAATGGTGGAGAGCACAGGCAGTATCCACTAAATGGCTTAAAGTATCCTCCCAGTGGCTTAAGGTACCCTCAGAGTGCTGCCCAGGATCTGCTATACTCTGCAGGCTACTGTAGGTTGTTTCTTGCATTCATCAGGCTCCTTTTTGCAGCATCTGTTCTTGAATGTAAAAAAAGTACTGGGACAGCGCTAGGCTAGTATGAACACAAATTAATACAATATGAAAAATAAAAATGTACAGCTTCTATGTGTTGAAGCAAGAAGTCTCTCTCTTCTAATGGCTTAAGTTCCACAGCTTTAAAAACAACAGATAAACGTAGCTCCTTAGTCCTTTTACCTTTAGCTCAGAAAATTTCCATTTTGTAAGCATTTTTTCAACTGCAGGATTTTCCTCTTTGTGTCTGATATGTATCTATAACATATTTATGGAACAGCAGAAATATTGGAGATTTATCAAGTAATTTATGTTTCGAAAGGTTTTGCATTACTGTATGCTGTGTTAGATGATACATGCAGCTCTAATGTGTAGTGCTTCACCTCAAATCCTGCTTGAATTCAGATGTTTCTAAATGCTAAGAGATTGATTCTATTAAATTCTGAGGACAATCAGTTTCCTATGAAGGCGCTCAGTTTCTTTGAACAAAGTAAAAATTTTGTGCACAATAGTCATTTCAAACTGTATGTTATTCATAGTTGCAGGTTTATGTTTCCATTTTATTGTTGCTTTTTTGAAGAAACCATGGGCCTATATTCCATGCAAAATATATTTTTTCTGCTGAGTTAGAGTCATGAAAATAGGAGATTGTAATTGAAAAGCTGATGTAATCTTAAGTAGTGGAGCACTTGTGTCATTATAATTAGACATTCTTAATGCAATGGTTAGAAACAAAACTATTTGAAAAGTTAATGTAATGCTATTATTTCAAAAAAACATTCTTGTCAATCTCTTCTCAATCTCAGTTATAAAATACTTAAGTTCATTCTAAACAATCTGCTTCTAAAGATAAAATTGCATGCACCAAAACTTCATTCTGCTGAAAGTTTTTAAAATTACTTTTTAATGAATTGACATTGTTTGTAATCTGCAGTTTGTATCTCTATATGCCATTTTGTGAGCATTTTCTAACAAATCATTGTTATAACTGAAAATTTCAAAGAATTATTGCACACAATACCTACAGCCAAGCTACTGCTGACTGTGATACCTTAATACACACTGAGAAGCTTACACTTTACACAGCCTTTGTTCTAGGTATACTTTGGTGAATGTGTTATTGGAAAACCAGCATACTGCCTGTGGATTAGGGTTTTTTTTTCCCTCAGATTAATAGTTGCTATGATAACAGATATCTTAGGAACAAAGAAAAGACTGTATTAAAGTTTCACATGCAGTAATGGAGGCAAAATGTGCCAGTATGTGAATATATGTGTGTATCTATCTATCTATATATTTAAATATATATATATATACACACACACACACAAACATACATATATATATATATACTCATCACTTTTTGTATTGGAAGTTCTCTGTTCCATGGTACTAACAATAGATTCTGGGTGAAAATGCATCAATTCTGCCTATTTTTCAGATTCTATTTAATTTCAGTAAATGGAGGATTCTCACTCTTATTCCCGAAACTGTCTTAGGCTTTATATCTGAATAGATACAAATGATATTAATGATGCCATAAACATTCTTCTCATGCATTTCGCCACCTCATTTGCATTCCATTCACTAACTTTCCTTGCCTATGAGTACTTACAACTAATCTTCTGAATAAAGCAACCATCAGGAAATGCAAAAAACAAGCAAACAAATAAAAAGAACAAAAAACCAGAACATCTAAGGGGAGAAATATTTCCAGTTTTTCCCTGCTGTTGGATTTTCCAACTGTAAATTAGTCTGGTTTCATACTTACAGTCATGGGAACATTTGGTCTGGTTAAGTGATAGATTATGGAATAAGGTCTTTAGTATGGCAAGGAGATCATTTAGTAATATATTCATTTTTAAGGTCATGGATTTATTTGTGTGAAATCTATTTAGTTGATTTTAAGTAGGTTCTGAATTGCATTGCTTATTTATTTATTTATTTATTTATTTATTTATTTGAAGTGTTGAGTTATAATTTTCTTCTGTGATACCTGCGGAGTTAGCTGATACTAAACAAAAGCTAGGAATTATAAAAAAAAAAAGGAAAAATTTTAAAGCCCTCTGAAATATTTTCTCTGATACTTTTAAAAATATATGGCATATAGAGGGCATACAATATTATGGCTCAGCATAAGGGAACTAGTTTGCATTCAGATAGTCTGCATTTGCATAGATTCCTCCTTAAATTCTGTATTAGCATCTGTGCTAATACCGCTACTGTTTATATGAGATTTTTTTAAGAGTAGTTGGAAAGGCGTTTTGCAAGGTTAATTATGCTTTTCATGCAGCAAGCTGCTCACAAATTGGAGCGCTTAGTTCTGAATACTTTTAGAATATTTCCAGAATAATGTATAGTCTTATTCCACTGCAAGCTGGAAAAATAAATGCCATAACTTATTTAGTGGAAGGGTTTTGAACTCAAGAGGTCAATTTTCCCTAGAAGCCAATTTTCACCTAGACATCAGGTGCATAGGGCGTGCTCGCCTGGCGTGGGTATGAGCTTCAACAGCCAAGAGGTTGCTTTAACTCGTAAGCAAAGACATATTAAACCAATGGAAAATGAGCAAAACAGATTTCCACTCCAACCTGCCACTGTCTTGCTTTGATAAACCCCATTTGGTAGGATTGGCAAATAGCTGATAGAGGACCCAGTGCTCTTACCTGCTTACTGATTTGAATCTTCCACTTAGTTGGCTTTTCCAACCGGAATCTGCTCCTGAAATCCAGAGACAAAGAGTTTTGGGAAGGTGGTCTACTTACTACCCTATTTTAATCTGAACGTGAACACACTTTTCTTATGAGTGACATTTTCAGTACTTATTGGAATATGAAATGGCATGTTTTTCTTCAGGAACCAAAGTACAACTGAGTTTTAAAATGCTTATTTATAATCCTTTTGGGGCATAGTGCAGAAATGTAGATATGAACCGTCGGTCTCACACTAAGAAAGCCAACTCATCATCTTCGTATTCTTTGGGTTTTTGTGGTATTCAGGTAGTCACTTGTTTTATCTGATCAGTTCCCGGTGAATCTAGTATCCTGCTTAGGTGCTCTGAGTAAACACTTGTTTGTGTGTTGCACCTTTTCCATGTTCATTATGCAATGCTGAATTTTGCTAGTTGTAAGCCAGTAGTTATGAGTGTAAAGTATTTAGTCAGTATAGGTAACAATATTATTCCTAAACATAGGAATAATACCTAAACTATTGCGTTGCATAGTACCATCTGCGGTTGATATCAAAATAAATTCTCTCGTTGATAAAAAAATTTGGATTCAGGATTTGGATGGGTCAGAGTCAGGAGAGACAGTCGGTATGACGCATCCCTTCCAGTGGCTGTTATGCCATGTTCCTATGAAGAAGCCAAACAAAAAAAGTCTCATGTTGCCTCAGTGTTGCCAAAAGAATAAATTATACGTCTGCAAGTGAACTGTGTGTTCCGCTATTGATAAGCCATTGCATATTTTCCAATCCATGATGTGATAAAACTGCAGGTACAAGAGTTAGAAATAGCACCTGAAGTGGAAGTATTAATCTGCTTTTTTTCTGCTTTTTCTCTGTGGCATGGCTCCGTCTTCTGTTTTCTCCCGTGATTCTGTTCAGATGAGCTAAATACTTCACTTGTCTTTTCCCGTACGAAGGCAAGGCTGGAACAGGGTAGTGCTGGGAACAGATAAAAGAATTTCAGTGAATTCTTATCACACTGATCCATTCAGAGAAGGGACAGTGTGCCTCATTTTTTTAAAAGGCAGTAAAATTGGATATAATCACTGAGATGAAAGGCAAACTGAGTTCAAATTGCAAGGGGTCAGGGGTGTCAGAGGAAGAGACCACAGATTTCTGTGAGTTGACCAGATACTTGCAGCACTTCCCATGTTGATTGATTTTCTTATAGAGACTCCACCAACGGGAGAAAAGCAGTATACTGGCTGGTTAGATGCAGTTTTGGGTACAGAGAGCATACTTCTTGTGTCTTCAAAGTTAGGAGATTTTTTCCCAGTTATGAGGAGCCTCTTTGTCTGCGAATATAATTCCCAGTGTACAAGAAGATGAGGGGTTATCAGTTTATATCCATCTGCATTAGCTACGTCTTTGCTCAGTTGATGGACTATTAGAAATGTAAAGTCTCTTAGTTAGAAATCTATTTGTGAAACTTTTCATGTTTGGAGTAGTTTTAAAATAATGCTCTTCAGGATGAGGTATTTGAAAAGTGTAAACATAAATAAATGCTTAATTTAGAACCTGTGTTTCTCTCGAGCTTTAGCCACCTGTGCCACTTAGGCAATTTCAGTTATTATATCGATTGATTTGCAAGTACTTCCCTGAGTTAAGGTTGCCCAGTGTTGCCCATTTTAAGGTCCTATTTTCAGTTACATATAACCTTGCCAAAGAATTTGGTCTGAAATTTTCCAAGTAACTTGCTTTAAAAAAGGTTTTAGGAAGATTCCGTCCAGCCATTTCTTAAACTGAATCTAGGTTAAAAAAAGATGTTCCACTGTACATTTTTAACTTTTTCACTGAGATTTAGTGTGTCTGCGCTTTGCAGCAACGGCTAGAAATAGAACAAGTGGACAGCCGTTGTTCCGGTGCCAGGGCAATACCTTTTACTTTTA